GGATGGATGGATGGATGGATGGATGGATGGATGGATGGATGGATGGACAAATACATCAAAACCATTTGGTAAGCTAAAACATTAATTTAAGTTGTTTTGTTTCCAAAACTAGAAAGAACTTTAAAGACTCCAAAAGGCAAACGTACATACATACATATACTTTTATACATACATATACATATATACATACATATACATATATATACATATACATATATGTATATATATATATTTTTTATTATTATTATTATTATTATTGCATATTTAAGAGCCAAACACACAACAGTCAGTTTACAGAAAGTATGTCTTATATTACTAAAGAGTTTTGCAGATGTATTTTTATCAAGCATGCCAACTGTGCTACAAGAAAAAGACAGAAATAAACTCTTCCAGAAAATCTTTCTCAAAGAAAAGTTGTTTTTCCAGTTCTCCGAGCGGTCCTTGGATTGCTTTAAATATCTTGATTTGGTCCTCTGAAAATAAAATGTTGCCCACCCCTGCCTTAAGAGTATGTGTTGGGGATCAGGCTCAGCTACTACCACACCTAATTTTAGCTCCATATCGCTAACGTTGATTGAGCTGAAACCATTTTTGTTTGATAAAGTTCATGATATATTTTGCTAACAGACAAACGTGGTTCATTCCAAAAGTTAGTGTTAAGGTTTACACCAAAGAAATCAAGTATATGAAGTGCTTGAAGTATGAAGTAAGTATGTTTAATTTTAACCCAATATCTATAAAACTCCCCAAGTTATAATCATTTATGTGCTTCATGAGGTCAGCTGGCTGTGGCGGCCATCTTTAATTGAAATGGCTCCGAAAGGTAAAGAACTGCAGAGGTCAACCCAATGATTATTTCCTGAAATTTCTACTAAAATCCATCCAGTGGTTCATGAGATATTTTGCTAACAGACGCATAGCCATGCTGAGGTAAAAACATTATTGCCTTTTTCCTTTTGGGGGATAAAAAAATTGACATAAACAACTCGGCTTGGTCCCAGAATCCGAAGCCCGAGGCGCCGTCAGTGTCTGAACAGACGGCAAACTCAAAGGATGTTTATTAGGCGTTTCATACAAATATTCTGATTAGAATGAGAGAAATCTAATTAATTGCTTGATTCAGTGAATGAACCTCGAATTTGTAATGTAATCATAACAACTGCTTTTCAAGGGGGCTCTTGTTAAATTTAATTGGGGAAGAAGAAGAAAGAAAAAAAAAACATCCTCTTTCACTGAATGAATGAAAATCAAATTAGGCCTAAAACCGGAGGAGTCTGCAGGTTTTTTATCCCGACACGCCGCGGATAAAATAAAATAAATAAAATAAAACAGCAGTAAAAGCAGAAGTGTGACACAATACATGTTTCGAAAAGTCCCGCATCGGCTGTTTTGTAACACGGAGCGGTTGGTGCAGCGAGGGGTAAAAAGAAGAGTACTCACTGTTCGAGATGTCTTCAGCTCTTTGACATCACGGCTGAAACACCTGCAGCAAAAACACAAACAGGCACTTCAGTTCGGCTCAAACCGAAACAGGCGTTTGCAACATTTTTATTCGTCCGCACAGCCTCCAGAACTCCTTAAGCTGTTCGAGAATCAAAACATTCAGCTCGTTCAGGAGACGGGTACGGCGACTTTTAAAGCCTTTAGCTTAATTTATTAATGTTTTCCACCGAATAAACTGCGTTTAGATTCTTTCAAAAAACTTTGTTCTATTTGAAAACTGTTTCAGCAAATTAGCTCCGTTTGTGTCTGCTCTTGCTACTTTTAGCCTTTAGCTACTGTTCTGCTGCTATTAGCTTTCAGCAGTTCTTTTGCTACTCCTAACTTTTAGCTTGCCTGTTGCTACTTTTAGCATTAAGCTACTCTGTGAACACCTTTAGCTAACCTTTTGTTACTTTAGCATCAATCATTATGCTGCTACTTTACCTTTTAACCAGATTTTGATTTTAAGCTATGTTTAAGCTGCTTTTACAGGGTTTCCTCTACATGTAATTGATCGTGGTGCATCGTCACGGTAAAGTAAAGGCTGTCACACCTTCAGAATAAAAGCTTATATAGAATTGAAATAAATTTAAATAACATGAAATATTAAAATGTACTTTATTTTGAAAAGCCAACAGCCTGCGTGGCTGTAAAGCTACGGTGCAGAACCGCTCTGTGAAACTAGAGACGAGTCGACAGTCAACAGCAAAGGGAGAGAAAAGGTGAAAGAAGGGAACCCAAGGAATTTAAGATGAATGCATTTTTAGTTCAAGCCTGTGAAAACGACCCTAATGTTAACGTAAGTTGCGTTTGAACAACAGTGACATAGTTAAAGAATAAAGTTTGGCCTTCACGCGTAATGTTTCAGATACGCTTGGAACAGCACGACATCGCTTAATGTCGGGTAATTTTTCCGTTGAGACTCATTTCTGGTTGCATTTTCAGACAAAGTTCTGAGGAATATAGAAATTATAGTGATCTGTACCGTGACACGTGTAACATGTAAAAATATTTAAATGTTCCTTACGTTTCTTGCGTGATATTGGTGATTGAAACAGATTTAACAGTTCCCAATTATATTAGACAAACACACAGGCTGAAATAGTGGAGGAAGGAGAGAAACGTGAGGAGGCAGAGCAGGAGGGTGCATCTTCCTGCACAAGTGAGCATGGGGAGGCAGAAGAGCAGGAAGGAGAGAGAGGGAGGGAAGAAAAAAGTAAGCACGGAGAATCTGTCCGGGACCCAAAATGGACTGAAATAACCAAGTTCTCCCCATGGTTGTCCTACACCAATCAAGGTGAGAATTAAGATTACAATTAAGTGAAAGGGGAATTATACAGGGAGATGATTGAGGAAACAGATCAGTGACACTACATGATGTGTTTCAGGATATGGACCAGTTCAACATGATGATGAAACTGGCATCCCAAAATGATGAATGGGGACATCTTCACCCATGCTTGAGCCAGCTCGCAGCCATTGCATTAACAGTGCCCATATCATCTGTCACCTGTGAGATTTATCTACAATGAACACTTAGTTAATAGTAAACAGTAAGTCCGTCAAAGATGGTTTGGTTTCTCTCATTTCCTAAACATTTGTTTTCATGTGTAGGTGAAGACAGACCTGAGGAACAGGCTGCAAGGGGACCATCTGAAAGCAGGCATGCTACTCAGCATCAATGGGCCCCCTCAAACTGTTCCCGTACAACAGAGCGTTGGAGCTCTTTTTCAAGAAACCCAGAAGGATAAAATGCTCTCAGCCAGGCTGCAAACGGTGCCATTAGAGATCTAAAGCTGTCGTTTCAGCTGTACAGTGCGATATTGAATAAATGTTGTTCAAAAACATTCAGTTTGAAATGGTCATAATTAATATGATGTTGTTGCTCTCTACAGTCGTATTACCAGCGTTGTATTCAACAAATCCCCCCACCCCCACCCCTGCACGCAGCCCATCACCAAAAAAAAGAAATCTTAGAGGAAACCGTGTTTTATCTTTTAGCTGCTCATTTGCTATTTGTAGCTAGTGCTTTGCTACTTTTACCTTGTAGCTAATTTTTTGCTCAATTTAGGTGTAGTCAGCCTTTTGCTACATTTAGCTTCTAACTAATATTTTGATACCTTTAGCTATATTTTTAGCTTTTTGTTACTCCTTTGCAGCTTTTAGCTAGCATTTTTATACTTTAAACTCGTCTTGATTTTGTTAACTATGTTTTTGCTACTTTTAGCTAGACTGTTAATGTATTAGCTTTTAGCTAATCTTTTGCTGCTTTTAGCATTTAACAAACTTTTGTTTACTTTTACTTTCTAGCAAGTCTTATGTTTTAAGCAAACATTTTGCTTCTTTTTATTTTAGCCAGTCTTTTGCTACATTTAGCTTCTAACTAGTCTTTTGATACTTTTAGTTTTGGTTTTGCCACTTTAAACCTTAAGCTACTGTTTCGGTACTATTAAGTTTTAGCAATTTTTTTTAGCTAGTCTTTTGCATCTTTTAGCTTGCATTTCATTATTTTTAACTAGTAATTTGATTTGTTAGCTATGGTTTTGCTACTTATAGCTATTGGCTGGCATTTACTTTCTTTTGTTTTTCTATATTCTTTAGCTGCTTTTAGCTAACAGTTTTATCCTTCTACATTATAATATTTTTATTACTTTTAGTTTTTTGTGATTTAAGCATTTAGTTAGCATTTAGTTTACTTTTAGTTTTTAGCTAGCATTACGATACTTTAAGCTAGCTTTAGCTTTTTAGCTTATAGCTAGGCTTTTGCTACTTTTAGCTCTTTCAGGGCTTTTAGCTAGCATTTTGCTACTTTTAAATTCTAGCCTTCTAGTTTGTTTCATGCTTTTACTTTTAGCAAGTGTTTGTTACTGTTATCTAATCCTTTAGTATTTTTAGCTTCTAATTACCGTTTGGCTTATTTTACTTTTTAGTTACTGTTTGATCCTTTTAGCCTTTAGCAGACATTCTGCTACACTGAGCTTTAACAAGTGAAATCCAGCTTCTGCAGCTAATTTTTAGTAGTCATTCAGCAGATGTTTAACATTTGTTTAGCTGCCTTTCAGCTGTTGTAGCTCCTACATCAAACCAGAAATAAAAGCGATGTCTGACACAAGCTGCACGCACACTCACACTCTTACACAAACACACACACACACACACTCTCTCTCTCCCTGAGCTTTTCTTGTAAAACCTGTTTGTTAGAAATGGATCCAGACATCGGAGCTTTGAGGATCTTTTCCCTAAACACAAGACGGTTCTTGCAGAGAACCAAGCCTTACCGGCATTCTCACGCCCATCTCTCATGCATTGTCTCTCCAAGGGCCTCCTGTGCACCTCAGAGCCTAATCTGAGCAGCTCACCATAACAGACACCACCCTGCTTTGTGTAAACCACACACACACACACACACACACACACACAGATTTTACAACTTTTGCTTCTTCTTGAACATCAACGTCTAAAGAACAGGAACTGAGTCAGAAACGTCTGGTCTGCTCGTACAAACGGGCTCACGAGAAGCAGCTGAAACGTTTAGCAGGCGCACCAACGCGGAGCCGTGTTCCAGCGCGTGTGGGAAGACATCTAACAAGGTTCTGTTGTCAGTAAACACATCCATCTGGTCAGCACCAACAGAACCCAGCCTGGCTAACGTTGCATTAGCACGGGCATGGTCACGCACAACAAGCATCTGTTTTCTAAAAGCTCACAGTTGTTTTTTGGTTTTGTTTTTTTCTAGGGGAGTTCCTGTAAAGGCAATAGGCAGGAGATAATATTTTTGTCTCTAACTGCATGTTAGCAAAATATTTCATGAATCACTGGACAGACTTTTTATGACACTCCCAGACAATAAACGCTGGATAAACATCTACGACTGATTAACTTTTCGAGATACAGTAAACAAATTCAAGATGGCTGCCATGGCCAACTAACCTTAGAAAATACAAAAATGGCTACAGCTATGTCAGTTTTATGGATACTGAGCTAAAGTTATGTGTGCTAGTAGCAAAGAGATGACTCTTTGCTACTAGCACACATAACATCCTTAACACATTCTCTTTATTAGCAGATAATTAAAGATACGTGCTACTTTACCACTTTTAGCCTTTGGCTTGCTTTTTGTTACGTTTAGCTTTTAGCTAGCCCTTTGCTTCATTAGCTTTTACTTACCCTTTGCCTACTTTGAGCTTTATTAACCTCTTTTTAACCAGCCAAATCCCACTGAGACCACAGATATATTTTGTAAGGGAGGCCTGGGCCTGAAAGCAGTCTAACATGCATGTTTTTGATCTGTGGGAGGAAACCGGAGTACCCGGAGAAAACTCACACAAGCACGAGAAGAACATGTAAACTCCGCACAGAAAGACGCAACCCTTTGCTACAAAAGCTTTTAGCTTGCCTTTTGCTACTTATAGCTAATGTTTTGTTGCTTTAAGGTAGTGTTCTACTGCTTTTAACTTTTAACGAGAGCTTTGCTATTTTTAGCTTCTAGATAACTTTTTGATACTTTCAGCTTAGAGTTAAAGCTTTGCTAATTTTGGCTAGCTTTTTGGTATTTTTGATTTTAGCCATCCTTTTGATCCTTTGACTTTTTGTTCCTATTTTACAACCTTTAATTTTTAGATAAACCTTTGCTACATTTGAGCTTGTAGCGAACCTTTTGCTGATTTTTACTTTTAACTAGCATATACCGGTAAGAGCTTTTAGCTAGCCTTTGCAACATTAGCTTTTACCTTGCCTTTTGCTGCATAGCCTTTAGATGTTTTACTGCTTGAAGCAAGTGTTTGGCTACTTTTGACTTTGAGCTAGCTTTTTACTACTTTTAACTTTTAGCTAGGTTGTTGCTAGTTTTAGGTCCTAGCTAGCTTTTGATAATTGTAGCTTATGGCTAACTCTTTGCCAATTTATTGCTAGCCTTTACAATTTATCATTTAGCTACTATTTTTCTATTATTAGATTCTAGCAACAATTTATACTTTTAGCTTGCTTTTTGATACTTTTAGA